GAGCATTAATAATGTGTATCAGTTGCCTGTCACCATAGTGCTGCTGTGTAACAAAGAACCACAGAAAAAAATCTCTCAGTGGCCTGTAGTAATGACTTGTACTCACATGGGCTGGGGGACTTCAGCTAACCTGGCATGGACTGACTACTCTCCACTGAACTACTCCTACATTATTTGGTCAGATGAAAGGTCACCATGGGTCGTGGCTGGGCTTGTTACATGAATGGTCACTGGCTCCAGCTGAGGGAGGGCAGCTGCATGGGGAAAGGCTGGTGACAGGCCTGCTCTGTGAGCTCATCCTCCAGCACCTGGACTGCGATGTCCTTCCATGGAGATGGCAGAGGGAACACCCATGGGGCCAGCACTTTAAACCTCTGCTGAGTCACGTGAGCTGATCTCTCATTAGAAATATGAAGTCACATGACTGAACCAAAGTCAGAGTGTGAGTAAAATGTACGTTGTAGAGTGTGAGCTGAATATGAAGAAATGAAGACTTCTGGATATTTTTATAACCATTTGCCACAGATGAGCAAACCATGAGTTCAGGTATTGAATTTCGGGTGTGAAGAGCATGTGAGGAATCCTGGCAGATGTAACCCACAGGGATGGGGCAATCAGGGAGGGAGGTGGGAAGGCTGGTGAAGTGATATCTGGAAGTGATATTGAGGAGACATGAAGTTGAGGGAGAGAAGCCCTGGGAGAGGCTGTGAGATAAGACGGGGCTTCAAGGACTGAACTCTGGGACTGTGCTGCCTTCAAGGAGCAGGTGCAGGGAGAAAGTCAGGAAAGGGCTCAGAATGGGGCCAAGTTCCAATAAGCCACCCTCAGAGGGAAGTGACCAACCAAAATGGAGGTGGTTTCAAGATCAGTCAGGAGTGTCCTGACTGAAGGGAGACTGGCTGAGAGGACCTTGGAGACTGGGTTGACAAACGGGAGACTTTTGTTGCATCACCCAGAACAGAATGGACTAGAAGGAGAAGCTGCACTATGGAGGCTGAGATGTTGGTGAGAAATGAGAAAATACAGCTGTTTTTGATTATAAGGTGTGCTCTTCTAACAAGAAAACTCTACAAAGATTTGAACATGTTTATATAATTATAAAATATAGGAAGAAAGGCAGAGATGAACATGTCATGTCATCATCTTGCTCCCCCAGGGTGGTCTCCCCCACACCCCGCAGAATGCACCTTGACAGCCTCCCTGGAGGTGTGCACAGGTGGGCCCTGCCCCACTTGACTCTCATCATCCCTCCACAGGTGTGGGCTCTGTCCCCCAAGTGCACATCTCGGGGCCAGAGAGGATGGGGTGCGGTGTACACGGCCTCGGGCTGGTTCCCGGAGCCCCAGGTGCAGTGGAGAGACCCCCGTGGGGAGCAGTTCCTGAAGTTCTCCAAGGTCCAGGCCCAAGACACTGAGGGGCTGTTCAGCGTAGAGGACCTCTGTGGTGAGAGACAGCTCTGTGGGGAGCGTGACCTGCTCCATCCTCAACCCCACCCTGAGCCAGGAGAAGGCCATGGCCATTGTCATCCCAGGTCAGCGCTACTCTCCCCTCCCTACTCCCTGCAGGGTCAGAGGGAGGCCAGCATCCTCAGGTGAGCTGGGCTGGCCTGGCCTGGGCTGTGTCTTGATGGGATTCCTGTGGGTCTCTGTCTGCAGAGCCCTTCTTCCCCCGGGCCTCTCCCTGGAAGCCAGCTTTCCTGGTGAGCCTGCCCTTGCTGCTGCTCCTGCTCCTGGGGGCTGCCTTACACCCAGAGAGAACATTCCACACAGATGCGGGAGCTGCAGGAACAGGGGGATCTGGGCCAGGCTAAGGAGGAGGACAGACAGACCAAGGAGAGGCCCTGAAGGCCACAGGTAAGCAGGACAGGGGCCAGGTTGTTGAGCAAGGCAGTGGGTGATGAGAGGGACAAGCTGACACCAGAGTCAGAGCCCAGGGTCCCTCTGCAGCAAGATCAGAGCAGGTGCTGGCCCAGGGGGACAGTGGAGCTTGGAGGCTCATGTTGGTCTGAAGGAGGAACTTCTAAGACCCAGAGAGATTCATTGTTTGTTTCTCTGGGCACAAACTTTGTTCTTAGGGACAGTTTATGCTTATATTTTTTAATTATTCAGGTGAACTCCAGGCAATTCTAGGTAAGCTCTGCTCTCCCTCCTGAACTCTCTGTGTCCCCTTCATAGGAGACATTCTGGTTCTTAGCTCACCTGTCCTGTGTTGTCTTTCAGACCAGAGGAAGGCAGCTTACCTGGCTGGTGAGTGATGCTCCAGGGGCCTGGGTCCCTGTCCCCTGTTCCCGGGGTCCCTCCCCTTGGCTGTCTCAGCACAGACATGTGGAACCTTCGCTGGGTGGAAGTGGGAGCTGGTACAAGGCAGGACCCTGCTGCATGGGCTCTCCGGATTTGGGTGCTGCTTTCCCCCCATTCTTGGGGTCCTGGTGGGTGATGACCCTTGAGTCTCCTGCATCCTTGTCTCATTCCAGCCCTGACATTCCCACCATGGTGCTGGCTTTCTAGTCCTCAATGCATCTTGTTCTTGGTCAGCACCTGGAAGTAAAGCCAGCGGCTCTGGGATTTGATAAGTAAATGGACTCTTGGAGTTTAGGAGTGTGACCTCCTCCTGCCCTTTTCCCCAAAAAACCCCAGGAGAGTCTGTTCTCTCTGCTCCTGAAGATGCTGATCAGTGGTGCTGGGAGAGGACGGGGTGATCTTGCATGGGAGGAAGTGGGGGGACTTTCCCTCTCCCAGAGAGTGTTTAGCACTAGAAATACTGCATGGAGGAAGAAGGGCCATTTCTACTCTGCAGCTGGTGTGATGTCCATGTTGGTTTTATTTCATCTTCACATTAATTTCCAAGGAAATACTGAATGTAATAATTATGGAATAATATCTCCATTAAATATATCTTCTCTTGTACTGTTTTTGATCCTGTGTAGCAACACTGAGTAGCAGATGAAGCAGGAGCTTTGAAGTCATTGAGGTCCAGAGCTGCTCAGTGACTTGCCAAAGCCCCACAGCAGCAGCAGGCAGGGCTGGGTCAGTCTGTCCTGCAGGCTCCTGACCTGAGCCAGGGATTTCCCACCACCCCATGCATTCTGCACAGGGCAGGAGGTCATGACCTCTCCAGCCTCTCCCCCCCCCCAGAGAGTCTCACCTGCAGAACACAGGGATACCAAGACCCTTGGATCACTAGAGCAACTGGTTGTGCTGAGGTCTCATCTGTGTGTTCCCTTTCAGCCTGGAGGAAGGCCCAGCTGTACGCAGGTGAGTGGCCTTGAGGTCCTGGGGCTCCCTCCCAGCCTCCCTCTGTCCCTTCTCTATCAGGGACCCCCACCAGTAAGGACCTGGGTCCCTTGTCTTCCTTCACTCCGGAGGCTCCATCTGAGAACAACAGGGCCCCCTTGTGAGCACAGACCTGCCTCCACCTGCCCTGTCTCCCTGCAGGTCATGTGGGGTCAGGACACCCTCTGACCCCTTGTCATCTGGTCCTTTCTTGTGGGTGAGGACGGAGGGGGTCAGTGTGAGGAGAGGCTGCAGCAGGGACAAGTGTGTGGTTCAGGATTTTACTGATCTCTCGAAAATTCCAGACATCCTACTTCCTGCTTCGGAGTTAGGTCTTCC